TAGGCAATTCACCTGTTTAGTCATTTAAAGAGAAAACTGTGAGTGAATGGGGGAAAAAACCAACACCACAAACCAGCTATATTCTACATCATGGATGCCTCTTACACATACGATATTGAAGGATGAAGCCAGGCAGGAAAGAGAAACATACTGGATGATTCTATTTATATGAAGGTCAAGGACAACAAAATGAATCTCTGGGGATGAAACACAAAATCATGGCTACTTTGGGACACAGCCTGGAAGGAGGGTTCTTGGTTGTTGTTGTTGTTAATGTTACATCTTATTTATACACACACAACACAACAAAATCATAGGTGTATGGATTTCTGCATCTTGAATTTTGAGAAAATGTATAAGTACATAACTTAATGAAGATTGTTTAAATGATGAATGGTCAATTTATATTACCATCATGCAGAAATTATTTCTGCTTAAAAAGTTATGCCAGAGAAAGAGAGAAGTTATTTGAACATATATAAATAAGATGGGACCTACATCAGAAAGGACTTTGCTAATCGTTTAGAAAAAGATGAATGACACATAGAAAAATGAGAAAAAGTCTTCCTACTTTTCCTTCCTGCTTTTCTAAAACAACCAAATACTACTTCTATTTTTACACTAATTTTTAGGTCAGTAATACCCTATGAATATATTTTCCTGCTAAAAGATAAAGTCATTGCAGGTAAGGCTGGAATCCCTACTTGTCTCTTTCTAATCCCTGTTCTATCCTGTATCCTAGAGGAAATCACTGTTAGCTCTTTGTCCTGCTTTTTCTTCCTAAATATTTTTTAGGGCAATGCTATTTTGTGACACACACACATACATACATGTGGAGGTCTGGTGGCATAGCGCATACATAGCATGTTGTACTGCTAAAAGGTGTTCTAATTCACCAGCTGCCTTACAGCAGAAAGACGGACAAGTCTTTGCCCACAAGCTTACAGCAGAGGACCACCATGAGTCAGAATCAACTTGACAGCAGTGGGATGTATATTTGTGGCATCATAATGTGTATATTATCCTAGAACTTGATTTTTCATGTAGTATTATGCCTTTGTGCCACATTTCTATATTGTTATGTAAACCTTATTTTCAATTTTTTATTTATTTCACCCCCCTTGTTGTGTGCCGTTGAGTCAGAGCTGACCGGCACGGCCCCTCCTTCTCCAGTGGAGCATCTTGTGGATTCAGACCGCATGCCTTCGGGATTGCAGCACAACTTTTTGCTACTAGGCTACCAGAGCTCACTAACATTATTTCTTGCCTGCTTCAGAGGCTTCCATAGAATGGATGTTCACAGTTTACACAGCAGTTCCTCTTGGATGGACCCTGAATATTAAAGTCATTTTCTTTCTTCCTCTCTTTAGGTATTTGATAGTTAAATTTAGTATTTAATTTCTGCTTCATTCAGAAACCAACCCACTTCATTCAGAAAGCTGACACCTTGTTTGAATCTCCTGAAGTGCACAGGTTTGCGGAGCCCTGACCCTGGCCGTGCCCCCATCTCCGTGGCCTCAGTCTAGGAAACCTGCTTGTGGTCTTGCGTGTGAGCAGCTGACTTGCGGTGTGATCTCATGAGCACCTTCCCTCTCTGGTTCTCTATTTCCTCACCAATGACTGAGAGTGTTTGGACATCTGTGGTATTCCTAAGCCCTGAAGGTCTTTGATTCTCAATGCAGGCTTGTCACCATTGATAAATGCAAGTGGCCAGTCAATGATGGATACTTGAGGGGAAAAAAACCCCTTCCCTTGCAGCCCCACAAACCATCTGCTTCTTGCAGTCTTTGGAGGGGAAGTTTGGTAGATTCTCTCAGAGTTGCAGCACTTCATGAAAGGAGATGCTAACAGGGAACACTTAGGAACTGAGGTTCTAAATAGTCCTTCCATCCTTTCCCTATGGCTCCTGGAGGCCAGGTTTCCATAGCAACCCTTGCCCATCTAACCATGCTAAAAATCTGTTATTATAAAGAGGAACAATTAGCTGTCTCGAGAGATTACTGAAAGGAAGTAAAAAGAGAGGTATTTATTCCTCACAGAGGAAGAGCAAAACATGCTCATCTCAGGACTCTCAGGTAGGCGCAGGTTTGACAGCAACTGACACAAAGCCCTCATTTTAAAGATGGGACACAGTTACGTGGCAGGAACTCTTGCTGGCTCTTGTTCTGAAGCTCTACTGTGGTTTCCTTCTTGCTTCCTGAACCACTGTTCCACGTCCTTCCCAGCTCCTCCCTCACCTCCTCTGTTCCCTCTCAGCTGAGGTGGGGACCTGCAGCCGTACATGTCACTAATCTTCCAGTTAGTTCCTTGACAACCAAACAGCCTGTTAGAAAAAGGGAGTCATGTTCTGTGACACTTCTGTTTACAGCATTTCTGGGTTGTACACATGTGACGCACTCACTTCGGCCTCAGATCATCAAGAAGATATCTGGAAGACAGGCCTGCAAATCTACTTCCAGTACAATCACTCACTCCCTCATGGCTGTTGAGTCAGAACTGACTCATAGCTGACCCTCGAGCAGATTGCCAAGACTATCTAGTTCACACGGAGGAGAGAGGCCGTCTTTGTCCCACAGAAATGCTCGTAGACTGACATCACTGGAGAAGCATCACCTTTGGGTTAGCAGCACAATTGTTTATGAGCTGCGCCACCAGTGATCCCTGACTGAAAGCCCTGGGGACACAGTTCTATCCTGACTCACACGAGCTTTCCAGCAGCAACGCTCTTCTGTTCACACCCTCCAGCAGCTTCCAGTGATGTGACCCAGAAGCCCCACTGCCTCTCCTGCCTCAGTCCCTTCTTTGACCCTTTACTTCATCCCACTCTGGGTCCTTTCTGTGTCAAGCTCCAACCTCTCTAAAAACCTCCCTCTAACATACCCAACTTGCCTGTCAGATATTGTTTAAAATGAAGCATTTAAATTAAGATAGACTAGGAAGAAGGATTGGCCATCCACTTCCAAAATACACCAGGCCTTCAAAACCCCTATGTATAATACAGTAACGCACACTTAGAGTAGCAGACTAACATATATGGCAACCAATTGCATTGGGAAAATCTGCTGTCAGAGATCTGGACTAGATCGAGGTCAGTCTAGAGACTAAGGTGAGCCTAATCCAGGCTATGATCTTCACAATTGCTTGCTATGCATCAGAGAGCTGGACAATGACTAAGGATGACAGAAGAATTATTGATGCCTTCAAGCTGTAGTTCTGGAGAAGAGTCTTGAACAAACTAAGGACTGCCAAGAAAACAAATAGGTCTGTCTTGGAGAAGGTGAAACCAAATTTCTCCTTGGAGGCTAGGATTTTGAAGCTCAATCTCACATACTTTGGGAATGTGGCCAGGAGGAACTCATCATCATGCTCAGACATGTGGAGGGCCAGTGAAGGAGAGCAAGGCCCCCGGATGAGATGGATGGATACAGTAACTGGGGCAATGGAGGTAGGTGTGTCGGAATTCGTGAGACTGGCTCAGGCCAGGGCAGGCTTCAGAGCTGCTGTACACAGGGTCACTGTACATCGCAAGGGACTCAATAGCACCTAACAACATCATCATCATCATACCCATTATTCTCTATCCATCCTCCTACTCTGCTCCTTGTTCACAGTACTTATCAATCTGAAAGTCACTCTCTGTTTACATCTTTACTCGTCCCCATCATGGGAAGAAAATGCTAATACCTTGTCTATCCTGCTCATGGCCATTCCCCTGACTGTGCACTGTGGAAATGGGTGGGCTCTCGGTACTTTCTTCTGGATGGCTGTATGGATGGGTGACTGGACGTTGAAGGATGTTCTCACTGTATCCTGAGGTGTTCGGGTTTCTCAGTTTCCTATTGCTGCTCTGGGCTGTACCAGAGACCCTCATACTTGGAGGACTGGGGACACTACATACGAAGAGGAGCTGAGACAGACTGGAGTGCACTGGTGAGGAGGATGGAGAAGAGAACCTGAGAGATGGCCATCTCTGTGACTCAGCCTGAGGGCCAGCTAGGACAGACTAGGGGTCTGCTGGTGAATACTAGGAGCTGGTCCTGAGCGGGAGTCAAGGGAAAGCGGGCTTTTGCTCATCTCGGTGACTACTGCCCAGCCTGAGCTCTTACTGCAGGCAATTATCAAGGTGACGTGCTCCCTTTCATCCTGGAACAGCATGGACTCATCATTTCCCATGCCAGAAGATGAAGATCATTTTACCCTCAGCTCAGGGTAGTCTTCCCCAGTTCCCACTAGGCTAATTCTTGTTCATGCTCCAGGTTTCCTCCTCAAAGAAGTCCTTCCTCACCTGCAAGACCCACCAGCTTCTGCAGCTTTATGTCCCCAGGAGGGCCTGTATCTGTCTCACACAACCCTTGCTGTAACTGCAATTGCATTTCTATGTAAACACATGTTCGGTGCAAGTCTATTCCTCCAGAATATATGCACTTGAAATTGTGCTTTTCCTATGGTGGTGGTGTTGTTATGTGCTGTCGAGTCACTTGCGACGCATAGAGACCTTATGTACAATAGCCCTGACACCTGCTCTAACCTGTGCCAACTTTACTGTCTCTGACTTCGACACAACTACCCTCATTATCCCAGTCACTGAATCAATCCATCTCATCAAGGGTCTCCCTCTCTTTCTCCGTCCCTCCACCCTTCCAAGCATGATGTATCTTTCCAAGGACTTGTCCCTCCTTGCAACATGCCCAAAGTATGTCAGACAAAGCCTCAGAAGCCAAGGAATAATTTAAGCTTATTTAATGGATGCATATAAAATTAAGGCTAAAGAGATGTCCAAGATCTTGCAGCTGGTGGATGGTGCAGCCAGGGCTGGGACCATATCTGCCTGTAGTCCTTCTACAGTTAGAACTGAGGTCAGAGCTGTCTGACAATGGATGGACATACCCTACTGCTGGGGGAGCCCAGCCTGTGTGGCAGGGCCTCAGGGCAGGGTACCAATGGGGTGGATCTGGTGCAGTGGATGGGTCTCTCCATTCTGGAGACACCGCTGAACTCACCAGAGCTTGTTCTATGAGGAGGCAGAAGAGGATGGCATTGCCCACTTCCCTCAGGCTCTGGAACACATCTGTTTTGAGCTCTGCATACTCGATGATGTCCTTCAACTGGTGGTGGAAGAACTCCAGGATCCCTGGGAGAAGAGGAGGCACAGTCACTGGGAAGCGGACACTGCACAGCCTGTCAGGCAGGAGTGCACTGACCGGCAGCAGCCCAAGACCGACTCAGCAGAGCAAGGAGCCAAACGCTGGGGCCCTGTGGATGTGCCTGGGCTCAGTGTCAGAGAAAAAGTGAGGAAGCTGGCCCCTTCTAGGATGGGAAGGAGGCAGACAGAAAAATAAGTGAAAACACACACACAAATTAGGCAGTCCTGGGTCCTCTCTACATCCTTCAGTTGGGGAAAAAATGACCAGAATTCCTAAAAAAGTGACAGGACACTCATTTGTTTAGCATTTCTTTTAAGTACTACTTATCTTGTGAAACACTGAAACACTTTACTGTAATATTTGATTTAAAACTTTATTCACCCCAACAAATTGCTGCTATATGCTGTTAGACCTGATTCAGAGCCGACCCTCCAGTGGGCTTTCAGAGGCCATCTATCACATGGGAGGAGACTGCCCATCTTTATCCCACGGAGCAGCTGGTGATTTCAAACCACATGCCTTTGAGTTGGCGTCACAGCTTCTTATCACTAAGCCACTTGAGCTCTCTGCTCTAATAAATATTCCACCCTCAAATTCTAATGCAATACTCTAATTAGGCACAATTATCGCTATTTTTCAGGGGAGGCTCTGAGACTGTAGCTGTCTTGCCCAAATCACACGGTGAGCATGAGAGGCAGCTGGGACCGAGGAGCAAGGCTTTCTGTTTCAGCCCTTTGCTGTTCAGATCCACACTAATTAAGCACTCGACATGTTTGGTTTTAAGAACCTTCTGTGCCAAAAAATCACGATCTCTGCCTTCTTCCCAGGCTCTGGGCCTCAATGACCTTAAGGGAAGACAAGAATTCTCTTCGCTTTCAGAAACTGAGTAGCAATCACTCCTGTTTCCCGACTCTCCTTAGATCTGTGATTTCCATTCCCATTCAGAGCATCAACTTCCTCCACATGGACAAATGGGAGAATGCGAAGCATCATCGAGCTCATTAACAAACCCTAACTTGCAATCTTTTCCAGTCATTATCTACAGGAGTTGTGCTCCTAACTCCAACGCAGCACTATACTACTCATGCAATTTGAATCCACCAGCTGCTCCACAAGAGAATGACAGGTAATCCCTTCTCATATCCAAAAACCCATTCAAAGGTCAGTTCTGAACTGGGTGTGACTCGACAGCAATAAGACTTGAGGTGCACTGAGTCAGTATGTATTTGGAGGAGGCTGGGGCTGCCGTGGTTAAGGCCTTGACTGCTAATCCCAAAGTTGGTAGTTAGAACCCTCCAGCTGGACAAAGATGGGCAGTCTGAGTTTGTAAAGGTTACAGCCTGGGAAATCCCATGGGGTAGTTCTACTCACTCCTATTGATTTGCTGTAAGTCGGAATCAAGATAGGTTTATTTATTATTTCAAGTCTTCCCCATTTGCTTCTCTCTTCCAGCTTCCCTGCAGTCCTGTACGGCAGGGCGCAAACCCAGGGCTCTGACTGCTCACGCAGTACTCAAGAGACCTGGCTTGTTAGGGGGTGAAGGCACAAGGTAGCCAGCCCCACCACGCCCCCATCACTGCTGGGGTGTGAGCTCTTTTCTATCACCAGCCCCTGTCTCCGCTCCTGTCACCAACCTGGAGAGCCATACTCGTGCCGGGGTAGGCGGCAGATCTTGGGCATCACTTCTATCAGTGTTTTCACATACTGGAGAATGGTTCCTTGGAGCTGCCAAGAGAAGAGGGCGAGAGTGAAATAACGCATCCTGCTGTATAACGTACAGAGCAGTGCTTCTGAGGCCCAGCGCTAGGCTGCCGGGCACGTGCAGGGTCTGCTGAGACCTGTCAGGCGGACATTCCCTATCGGAGAGAGCAGGTCCCCTCTGACGGCTGTGGAGAGGGTCAGACTCAGAAAACTGTCCTCCTATGACAGAAGGAGTCCTGCTCAGACCTCTCCCAGACGTGGAGACATGAAGGAGGGTGCATTTCTAGGCAATATGGGGTCATTCCTGAGGTTAGGGTGCTTTGAGAAGATTCAGATGCACAGTTCACTTGAAACAGCGCCAAGATGCTGTGAAGACTGAGAAACATTACCTAATTTAAACTTGGGAAACACATGGCACCTTCATCCCGCCTGTGTCCAAGGCAGAGCGCTTTAATCAATCACCACCTTCTCCTGTTTCACCCTGAATTTAGTTTCAGTCTGTAACAATCCTTGGTACCCATAGTTGTTACCAGAGAAGTGAGCTTATTGGCAGGTGAAGCCTGTTTGCCTCTTCTCACCTGGCGCTATATAGCCTTCTTGATTGTGCCTCGTCATCGCAAACCTTCAGGAAAACCTAGCTGAAATGTTTCAGCCGGGCTTGAGGAGCGCTGCAAAGAATTAAATGCAAGGCCATACGGCCACCCTTAGTTGAGGCAGGGTGATAAATGGATGTAGAATTTTCTTGAAATCAGTGCAGCAGCAGTGATTGTACGGTTTAGCAAGAAACCCAAATAGAAGTGTGGGGATCGATATGAAATATCTGCTAGAGAAATTTGTTACTAGGTGCTGTTAAGCTGACTATAACTTAGAGCAACCGTATGAATAGCAGATCAGAATCTCACCTACCCTGCTCCAACATCATGACCTCCAATATGCACAAGCCCATTGTTAAATCCCACAGAGGGATTTTACATACACAGAGGAGCCCTGGTGGTGCAGTTCAGCACACAGCGGATAATGGAAAGTATGGCTGTTCAAATTCTCCCAGTGACTCTCCTGCAGAAAAGAGCTGGCAGTGTGTTCCTGTAAAGATCACAGTCCAGAAACCCCTGTGGGAAAGTTTTACTCTATGGGGCTGCTTTGGAAGGAGGAGTAGCATCCACTTCCGTAATAGCTTGCCTCCGGAAACCCTACGAACCTGGAGAGAGGATGAGTGACACCCAGCGTTGAGGACTCTCCTTCAGAGGGTCGCTATGAGTCGCCTGCGACTCGACAGCATTGAACAACAACAACGGCATGGGGCTGCTAGGAGTAGTAATTGACTTAATGCACCCAGTAACAAAAGCAAACTGTAGATGCCTTTGAATTGTGATGCTGGTGAAGAGTATTGAGCACATGCATCATGGGTTTACTGTGCTCAGACAATGCAGCACAGAAGGGCAGCACAAGCAGTGATTGCTGTTAGTGCCACTGAGTCACCTGGATCCCAGTGACCTGACCCCATGGATGAAACACTGCTCAGTCTTGAGCCATCTTCACTATCATTGCTATACACAGTTGCAGCTCCCGTGTCAGTCCAGCTCCCTGAAAAGTCCTTTTTTAAAAAAAAAATACTGATTTTCAGTCATTAACAGGTGCTAAGGGTCAAAAAAAACCCTAACAAGTGATGCAATCACTTGTTATGCATCAGAGAGTTGGACAATGACTAGGGAGGATAGAAGTAGAAGAATTGATCCTTTTGAGCTGTGGTGCTGGAGAAGAGTATTGGATGTACCATGGACTGCCAAGAAAACAGATTCATCCTGGAGAGGGTTAAGCCAGGCTGCTCCTTGGAGGCAAGAATTCTGGGGCTTCGTCTGACATACTTTGGTCATGTTGTAAGGAGGGACAGGTCCTTGGAGAGGGACATCATGCTTGGGAGGGTGGAGGGACAGCGCAGGAGGGGAAGACCCTCTATGAGGTGGATTGATTCAGTGACTGGGGTAATTGGGATGGGTGTGTCAGAGGCAGTGTGACTGGCACAGGATAGAGCAGGGTTTAGGGCTGTTGTTCATAGGGTCGCTATGAGTCGCAAATGACTCAACGGCACATAACAACAACAACAAGGGTCAAATTAGGATGACTGAATTCAATAATCACATAGAGTCAGTTCTGAATCAGAAAAGAGGTGAAGCCCCAGGTCAGAGGTGCACAGGAACATAACAGGGTGATGTTGTTGCTGTTGTTATGTGCCACTGAGTCACCTGCAACTCGTAGTGACCCTATGTACAATAGCCCTAAACCCTGGTCTACCCTGTACCAATCTCACTGTCTCTGACACACCAACCCCCTTTACCCCAGTCACTGAATCAATCCACCTCATAGAGGGTCTTCCTCTCCTGCGCTGTCCCTTCACCCTTCCAAGTATGGTGCCCCTCTCCAAAGACTGATCCTTCCTTGCACACTTTCAGAGCAATTGAGAAGGAAGGTGAAAGACTCCCTGGTGATTTTAAGAGACAGAGCTGGAGTACCTGTGACTGGTCAGACCAAGTAAAACATGAAAGCAAGTTGTTCCTGTGACCCCCACTTGGCCACCTTGCACGTCTCATCTGTGCTTCTCCTTACCAAACTCTTGACGATCTTCAGCAGCTCTTCCATGACCACAGCGATGCCCTGGTACCCCAGGAGTCTGCATATGGTCTTGAAGTGAGGGGGCCCCACAAAGTTCCGGTAGGAGCTATAGATGTGGCTATAGGCGATGTTGAGCGGCTGAAAAACAAGGGTCGTGGCAAAATAAGTGGCTGAGTATAAATGGACACTGGCGTGAGGTCTGGATGGGGATGCTTCTCTGACAGAGGCCGGGGAATTTTCATGGAGGACCTCAGTGGCTCTATCTGCAAGATGTAGACCATGGGGAGAGGTGTAGTCAGTGCCCACAGGATGGGGCAAACACCCTCAATGGAGCAGCTGTCATGACTGAAACAGTGAAACCACGGCAAGGGAGTGAAACAGATGACTGCTCTCCCTCTAGAGGCGTCTCTGGTCCTACATACTGGACCATTTCATTTGAAAAGGCAACAGCCATTCTGCATTTCCCTTCTCCCTACTTATTGCTGCTTCCATCTATGACACGATGCTGTTTTGGAAAGGAAACAGGCTGGGAGCTAGCAGGCACTGCTGAATGTGTTAGAAAATCACTCGGCTTTTTGACCCTCAGTTTCTTCATCTGTGCAATAAGGGAATTAAAGGAAGCCAGTGGCTTCCTAACATTTAAAGTGGCAGTGCAAAGAGACGTATGGTGGTTCAGCCGTGCGCGCCATGTCTCTCTCCAGACCCCACCAGGCACCTGCAGTTTGACTCTCAGGGCTCCATGGACACAGCTGAACCACCATACAGGAATTTCTTTACGATTCCTTACTGACAAATCCGTGACCAAACTATTATTATTGTTGTTGTCTCATAATGTTGAGTTGGAACTGACCCTGCAGCAAGTTTGCAGAGGCTGTAAATCTCACAGGAAGCCTGCCCATCTTTTTCCCATGGAGCAGCTAGCTGGTAGATCTGAACCACTGGCCTTTGGGTTGGTAGTGCAGCTCCTCACCACCGGGTGAGCTCCCTCCACTGGAGCCTAAATTGGTCTCACTTGTTTGCTGAGACTGGAAAGTTTCTGCAATGTTGCCATGTATGGAGCTTCTCTTATTCTGTAATGTGATGTCTTTCATAGATATACCCCTTTCTATACAATAGGCATATGGGATGTGGACTACCCTTAGTCCCATTTCACAGCACATAATGCATAATCCACACAGTTCATAGATAACTGAGCTCTGATCTGAAGCCAGATATGGCTGATTGCAAACCCCCACTCTTTACTTCCAACCATGCACACTCTGGATGTCAGATTCTTAAATGCCCAGTTTTCTAGATAAAGTTTCACTTCAAAACTCAGTTCTAAGTGTAGGCTACTCCTTGGAAGTGCAGACATTTTATACACAGGTGTAAACAGAGAAGAACAGATCTGATTTACTATTAGCTGCAATTCTGTATTAGTTGCAAAGTCCTCAGTGAACTAACTGGGGCTTGTAATGATGCTTTTATAGGGCTGTAAGATCCTGAATGTTCCTTGGGGTCAGAGAAGAAATCCACTCACTCTCATTTTTTAATTAAGTATATTCTGCTATATACAGATTATTCTAAACTTTGCAATGCCAGCATACTAATGTTGTATGTTGTGTTGATTTTAAACTTACACTGACTCCATGTGACACCTGACTGCTCCATAGTGCTTTCTAGGCTATACTTTTTGTGACAGCAGATCATCAAGTCTTCCTATGAAGCTGCTAGGTGGATATGAACTTCCAACTTCTTGATTAACAGCTGAGTACTGTCTAACAACAAAGAAATGGGCTCGGATGGGGTAATGCATTACATATTTTGCTGCTAATCTTAAGCCATTGATCTGAACTGACCAACTGCTTATGAGAGTAAGATAGACAGTCTCTTTACAAAAAGATCTGCAGCCTCTGAACTCCAACAGAGGGTCACTATGAGTTGGAGTAGACTCGATGGTGGTGAGCAATAATCAGAGTATATAAAGAACACAATTATAGTCCCTAGTAATTAGGATTAGTGAAGAATTAGGACACCCACTCATTCAGACTGAATCTTAGCACGGTTAGGAAAGTCAGTGTCTGCCTACTGGGAGGTGTGGAATGTGCGAACTTGTCATGTTCTCTCCTCAGTACTGAGGAGCTGCGACTCAGGAGACTTGGCCTGAACACAGCACTGTACGAGGAAGTGGATGAGCCCAGGGAAGGGGGATATTTCATGGAGTTACTAAGGACTGCTAATGTTAAATGGTGGAATGATTTATGAAAGAAGGGGACTATAACAAACTCAAGAGCATCATGTTGACAGCAACTCCTAGAAGCCTATGAATTGCAGAGCTTGACTAAGCCAACTATGTGGTCAACTTTCAACATGAGGATCAAATTCACTCAAGTTCCCCGGGAACAGGCCACATTATGAAACAAGGCTAGAACGAGGAGATGTGGGTTAGGAGGCAAGTGCTCAGGACGTAAGGAGGTGCTTGCTCTGCTAAGTGAGTGTGGCCGTGGCCGCATATCAAGACTCCATTGTGTGTCCTCCCATTTCCCTCTGCAGAAACAGGAGTGCATCACAAGCACCGTGCAGGGCTTGCCTCTGGGAGGGACAGGAAATTGGCTGGAGAAGAGATGCAAGAGGACTTTTTGGGGTAACAGAACCTACATCTTGACAGAGTTGTTTGCTATAGACATTTGTAAAAACTCATGGAATTTTATGTGTACTCACAACTTGAACATTTTACTGTGCAAAAGTATATATAAGCAAAACCCACTGGGTTAGGCCATAGTAGAATTGTCTTCCTAACCTTTACGTCCCTAGATTTTAAAAAAAAAAAAGCTAAATTGCCATTTTGATGCAGTTCTGAAGAAGGCCTAGGTGGGCTTCAAAGCTGGAGTCTGCATAGAACAGGGGATGGAGTGTGAGGGGTGCGGAGTAAGTTATCATGTGCAGGGCTTCTTTTGGAGGTGGTGAAGGTGTTCTAGAAATCATTACGGTGATGGAACGATACTAACACCCACTGAACAATAACTACTTAAACAAGTGAAGTGTGACAAATGAATTCCGTCTCATCAAACTGTTAGGAGAAATGAGAGCTGTCTGGCAGCAGCCTGCTCGGTGAGTCTCTATTCCCAGGATGTCCCAAGTGGAGGCTGAGCAACCCTGTGCAAGGTGGTCAAGGTGGCTCCTGCCTGAGCTGGAGCTGGCGTGGACACACTGTCTCCGGAGGCTCAGCTCCCATGCCCGCTTCCCGGAAGCTCATCTCTCCCAGCATCTCCTCAACCCTCACCACCATCCAAGGAGCTCCTGGTACCAAGTTTCTCTTAGTACTTCCTGGCAAGTACAAAACATATTCAGATTGGTGAAGGCTGTCCAACAGCCCTCCCCAGTTCTAGGCAGAGAAGAATCACTTTGGCACTGTTCTACCTCACACACACACACAAGTACAGACAATCCCCCTTAGACCCACTCGGTGCACTTAGGAGGGCCCCTGTTCCATTCCAGCTTCAGTCTTGGATTCTGGGTAGACTGGTGGGTTAGGCATCAGCTGATGGCTGACACTCAGTAAGGACCAGCATGACATAAACAGAAGTCCAGTCCTCCTTCTAAGTGACCAAGCTACTCCTTTGCCTCCCCATCTCCCCAAAACACACCACACACATGCAAGAGGAAAGTCACCCACATGCTGGGTCCATGCACACGCATCCCGAGGGCACCCATCTGACCTGCTGGCTCAATAGGAGGCTGGGCCCTACTGAGAAAATGTGGGAATATGGGAGCCTGGGCATTTTCTGAGGTTTGGCAAAGAAAAACAGGAATACAACATAGCTTGAGACATTGGAAACAAGCCACAAATTTCATATGCTGAACTAATCCTGCTAACTGACGCGGGTTAAAATCACACGTGCCTTCCTTTAGAAACTAATTATGTATCCTATCCGTTTGGGATGGCTCACTTCAAATCAAGCTTGTTTAAACCCACATTGTATAAAACAGGTAATGTTATGAACACTCAAGAAATAAACACTCCCAATTCAGGAATTAGAGCCATGTTATTACTACAGGACCCAAGTGTGCATTTTGTTAAGCAAAACAGTATTAAGAAGAGAGAAGTTTGATGAGTTTGATCTGGCAGATACTGGACATGGTAGCTGTACCTGCAGAGAATCTTTGGGTCTTTAGGTCTCTATCTATTACCAGATGGTAAACATAGCCAGGTGCTCCAAATAAGGAGGCCTATTTATTTGGCAAATTGAATTTACAAGCAATTTGCATCTCTACATTCTGGAATCACAATTGCTGCAATTGTTGTTTTCAGAGGTTCCAAGAGGAATTAAAACAGCTTCCAATTTCCTGTTTTAGTTACCATTTCTCTAATGTTCCTTGAGCCATTTGAATACCACCAGCCCACAAACACAGATCACTAATTTAAGCTGGAGTGCTGCAGTTCAATTCCTTAAAACCATTGCCAGAGTATAAAGCCCAAAGGTAATGAATAAAAAGCAAACAATACTGTCCTTGTCGCAAAAGGTAACAGGATAATGGGGTGTAGAGGACTGAAAACACCAGAGTTTCTTGTTCAAATCCACTGCTAGACCTGGGGCTTAGTCTCCACCATCTGGGGCCCTTTATAACATTCTCAACTCAAAGATTAAACGATGGAAGCGAGTTGATGTAGAGAACTTTTTAAAAATGGTGCTCCTTCCTTTCTTAACTCAGGACTAACTAAAATGCTTTGGAGAAGACAAGAAGGATAACAGCACCAGGGACCTTATTAGTGATATAAAACTTAGAGATGCTAACATAATCGGAAAGAAACCAGTGGCACCACTTTCCTTTATAATTTGTACCCAGGTGATGATACACAAGTGTCTAATATTTTTCTCTTTATGAGGGTTTTCACATATTAATTCCTCCCTAACTGTCTAGTTACGTAAGTTTTCTGTGGCTCCTGTAATAAATGACTGCAAACTTGCCAGGGGTAAAATGATAGTTTTCTTCTCACACTAAAAAGTCTGGAGGCCAGGATTTTGAAATTGTTATCACTGGGCTGATGATATGAAGGTTTTGTCAGGGCTGGACTCCCCATGAAGGTTTAGGCTTGAGGGGAAAATCTGTTCCTTCTCTCTTCCCAGTTCTTATGGCTGCTGGCATTCTTTAACTCT